GAGTTGGGACAGCTTGGCAGACCCAGTGACAGGGAACAAAGGCACTGGGCTTTGCCTGGGCCTTCTTGGTCCTCTGAGAAGGGACAGGGGTGTGTGTGCAGATCTTATACAACTGGGGAGCGCGCCGTGTCCGTTTTCTCCTTCTTTTCTCCATAATCTATTTAAAGACCATTTCTTCCGAGGCTGCGTGTTGCAATCTCTTTAGTACTAAGGTTTCGGATTTTCCACTGACGAGCCCCAACCCCTGGAGACAACTCTTGCCTCCTCTCGCCTTACCACACTTGAGGAAGTCTGGATTTCAGCTCTGGGTTTGTCCTCCACCACATCCTCCCCCTGTTGCACTTTTCTTCTGCCTGTTTGTATTGAGTCTAGACTTTCCTTTTTATTTGTTGATGCCCTGCCCTAGCCTGGGGCAGCTGTGGTGCGGTGGGAAGAGCACTGGAATTGGAGTCATCGGGGAAAGCTGGTTTTGATTCTGGCTTGGCCATTTCCTGGCTGTGCCTAGCTGTCCAGGCGAGTTATTTACCCTCTCTGGGCCTCCTGCATGTCCTCTGCCACTCGAAGTCACAAGTCTCCTCTCCGGGGTTGCTGAAATGAAGAGACGGAGCCTGGACTGACAGAGAGTCCCTTCTCCCAAGCCCTGCTCACCTTTCTAAAAGCCTAGAGTGTCTCCTGTCCCATCCCCTGCACCAACCCTTCTCTCCCGTGCAGCCCTCGTTCACCTCCACAGTCTTGGCACGAAAGCCATCATTACCACGTCTCTGCTTAACAAATGTTTATTGAGCATGTACTATGATCCAGGCACTGTTCTGGGAGCCGGAAACACGGCAATGAACAAAACAGACAGAAACCTCTGCCCTCCTGTCGCTGGCACCGTAGCGGGGGGAGAGCAGATGGAGGAGAGGCGGTGAAGACAGGCCCAGTGGGGAGTACATCTTAGAGCTACACTATCCAAAATGGTAACCTCTGGCCACCGTGTAGATGGAGCATTGGAAATGGGGCAACTCCCTCTGAGATGTGGGTAAGAACAAAATTCACAATGATTCAAAGATTTAACTTCAACAGTGTTCCGTCTCTCGTTGGCTTTTAGCTGATGAGGTGGCGGGATGATACTTTAGGTATGGGGTTACCTAAACCTTATTTTCCCCGCTCAATGCTGCCTGTTTCTTTTTACCTTTTACAATCTGGTTCCTGGCAAACGTTGTTACATACATGGCTCATGTCACGGTTCTATTAGCAGCTCTGTTCTAGAATGTCTTAGAAGGCTGTATGTGCTGTGGGGGGTGGGGTGGGAAGGGTGCTAAACAGGAGCATCCGGAGTAGAGGGAGAGAGGAGTGTCGATGGTGAAAGCAGTGGCCCAGGTGGCCGCACGGACGAGGTTCGGAGACTGAAGGCGTGTCACGCCTGGGAAAGATGCTCCAGGAGGCGGGAATGCCAGCGCCAGGGCCCAGGCAGGGAGCGTGCCTGCCGTGTGAGGCCCAGAGAAGCCAGTGTGGCTGGAGCCAAGAGACCAAGGAGGCAGAGCTGGGGAGGTAGAGGCAGCCTGGATGGTGCAGGCCTTTTAAGGCCATTGCACAGACGTTGGCTTTTTCTGAGTAAAAGAGAGTCTTAAGGCAAAAGGTGACACAGCTGGGCTCACACGCTAACAGGTTCACTCTGGCTGTTGTGTGGCAGCTCAAGTGAGCCGAGAGGACAGTTCGGGGTTGAGAGGCTCCGGCCAATACATCCTCGGGATGGCCACAGCCCCACAGGGCAGTTGTGTGGGCTCAGTGGATAGGGGAGCAGCAGGTGGAAAGCACCTGGAAAAGGAGCTCCAGTGCGGGCAGGGACCTTGCCTCTGGCCTCAGTGTGGCCAGGAGGCAGCGGGCACCCTCCCCAGCGGTCATGAAGTCACTACACCACCAACATCCAGGCATCTCCCCGTCCAGGGCTGCAACCCCTGCCTTGCTGGGATGCTCTGTGGAAAGCCCTTCAGCCACTGCTCAGTGGCTCTGGGGGAGGCAGCATTGCAGGCTCCCCAAAAGCTAATCCTGCCTGTCTCCCAGGTCTCCACCCCTCACCCGCTCCCTGTCCCAATGCCCCTGCCAAGCCTTTGCTTACACTTTCCCTTCTGCCTGGAATGTCCGCTTCAACCCTTCCACCCTCCCCTCCCTGTTCAGTCTTCTTCTACCGGCTCCTTAAGGGGCAGCCTAGAGGCAATGCCATGAGAAGACCCCCAGACTCTGCTACCCCCAATGCATCCCAGCCCCACACTGGATCAGAGGCCCCCATCCTATTTTATGAGTTTTTCTCTTTGTGGATTTATAGTTCTGTGAGGGTTGAAGTTGTGCCTTGGTTCTAACAGCATCCCTTGCCCTCACCTGATGGCTGTCCCCATAAGTCCTGCTTGAAGGAATCAGAGAGAGGCAAGAGGGGGTGGGTTTGGAAGGATGTTCATACATGCCAGTGACCCAGGCAGCTTCTACTTGCCCCAGGACCCCAGGAGAGACAACCACTCTGGGGCAACCAGGTGGCCTTCTGAGGAGAGCTGTGGGTCTACCTTCCAGGGGCTCAGGGAACACCAGGGTTCACTCAGGAAAACTCACGTACATCTCGGGGTCCAGGTCCCCATGAGCACCCACTTCCCAGTCCCATAACAGCCAAATCCAGGAGCCCCCCTCCCCTTTCCGTGAGTAACAAGCTCAGACCCATGGCCAGTTCCTTCCTTGACCAAGGGACAGGGAGGGCCAGGCCTGCGTGGCTCCTAAAGGTAACTCTTCTCACTTCGGAGCCCGAGGCTCTGTCTAAGGAGCTGTCTCTCCCTCCCCCGTTCCCAGAGGGCCCCCCACCTCGCCGTATCATGGCAGAGCATGGACCAGCCCAGCTACACCGGAAGGTCTCAGGCCCCAGCACCTGGGACCCCTTTCCCAGGCCTCAAATAAATGCCATGTTCCCCGAGGGAGAAGGGAAAGGGGGCAGGGAAATCTGGAACAAAGATTCAAAGGAGAAGGAGAAACCAGGAGGAGCTCTGAGATCAGAATTAAATTCTTTAATACAAAATGCTTTTTTTTTTTTAAGATATATCTGTATTTCTTTGTTGCTGTTTAAAAATAAATATGTACTACGGAATATCTCGAAAAACCTGCACTAAGGGACAAAGATGTGATGTTAATATCTTTCCCCCCACAATTATTATGGATAAACAGTAGCACCAATAAATAAATGATAACAAATATTAAAATTAAAAAAGGAGAGAGATTTAGTATGTAGAATTCTCTATTTTTTCTTGTTTTGTTTTTACATATAAAAAAACAGAATAGCAATGTCTATTTCATCAGAATCACATATATACATAAACATATATATATATATACAAACATGAGTTGCCAAATATATATATAGTATGTAGATGTATATTGAAACCTTATTTCAAAGGAATGTGTGGTGGGGAGCCGGGGCGGGGGGGAGGGGGGAGAGAGGGTAGGGCAGAGTTGAGTGTTAGCAAAATTAAATATCTGTTCAGGACAAGCTAGTGACTGTCACCGATCAGGGAAGAGAGACTGTGGGAACACGGATTTTTTTATACACAAAGACCAGCAAGGAGCAGTACAAATAAGAGAGAGAGAGAGAGAGCGCGAGAGAGCGAGAGAGATACATCTCATAAATAGTTCAAATTAAATATTAACCAAGAATACTGAAAAAACCCTACTCTTTAATTAAATTAACTGTTTTAATTTCTAATTAAAAAGAGATATTAAATAAGTACCGTATATAAAACACTTTCTCTTTTCTCTGCCTCCGTGGTGGGCATGTGGATCCTGCCCTGTCTCTCTGAGCCGCGGGAAGGGTCGGGTGGGGGGACAGAGGAAGGTCAACCACTCACACACACAGAGCCAGGTCTCCTGCGGGACAGAGCTAGTGGTTTCAACGGTCTGAGGACCTCGGGGCCCCTGGGCCTCGCACCCAGGAAGGGAGCGGGGAAGCGGCCGAGGCGAGAGGCCCTTCCCACAGACGACGGCGCGCTTCACGGGCTGCTCCTCTTCCACCAGCGTCCTCTCCTCTTCGCCAGGACACCTGGCGGCGGCCTCGTGGGCATCGCGGAGGCAGGCGAGGGTAGGTAAAGGCTGCCCGGGCTCCTGAGTCCTTCAGGCAGCGCCCCGGGGGGCAGAGGGCCCATGCAGCACGTGGAGGGGCTCCCCGAAGCACAGCCGTGTCCGGAGGCTCCCCAGACTCCTGAGCGGAGCCAGCGTCCTCGCCCCTGTATCTGTCGCCTGTCCTCGTGTCCATGTGACGCGCGGTAGAGGCTCGGAGCCAGGGCTGGGTTTGTCGGTGTTCCCAGAAGCAGGCCAAATATGCCCCCAGGCCCTGGCCGTGCATGCTCCTGGGCCAGGGAGCGTCCTGGCCACCCTAAGGGCCGCAGGAAGGTCATGGCAGAGTCTCTCTTCTCCCAGCTTCCTCCTTGTCGGGGTCTGGGCGGGAACCGTCTCCTCCCAACGCAAGTCCACAGCAGTCAAATACATCCAGTGAAGACACCAATAACATTAGCAATGTTAATTTAAAAAAAAAAAAAGGAATATATATATTTTATATATATATAAAATATATATATTTACTTTTATATATATAATATATATATATATAAACATATGTATGTGGGTGGGTGTGTCTACAGGAGTCCCAGAAATAAAAACTCTCTAACCGGGCTCGGTGATTTAGCAGCAAGAAAAACACAATGGCGATCCGAATCCAAGAGGGACCGTGCTTGGTCACCGGCCCGGGAATGCTTCCGCCGGAGTCTCGCCCTCCGGCCCCAAAGTGCTCTGCGCAGTCTCCTCTTCCTTCATGTCAGGTTTCTGGATTAAGGATTGTTCTGTCGATGATGATGATGATGGTGGTGGTGGTGGTGGTGGTGGTGTGGTGGCAGCGGCGCGGTTTCTGTATCAGTCATTCTGTATCCGTCTCTCCTGGTGAGAGGGCTGGTTCCCGAAACCCTGAGGGAGGTTCCTTCCTCAGGCCTGGCTCACCGCCTCGGCTTGTCACATCTGCGGGACGGAAAACGGAGGCGGGTTAGGGCCGGGGAAGGAGCTGGGGGGAGTCCCCAGAAGCAGGAGGACGGTGACAGCTTGGTCCTGCCTCGGGGAGCCCGGGCGAGGGAGAGGCCAGCCCCTGTCTGTCCAAAGGGCCCTGTCCCAGCCGCTGTCTGAGCAGTGGCCATGCTCAGGGCTCCCCATCTGCCCTCTATAGCTTATAACACAGTTGAGACAAAGCAAGGACATAGGGACACCCCATCACAGGCAACAGACACATAAGTAACAACAGTCCCCGTGTGACGCTTAAGAGCTAAGGGGCGGCCAGAGCTGGGCCCAGTGAACCGGGAAGGGTCCCTGCCTAGGGAAGTGATTCAGCGCAGTCTCTTGGGGCAGGTCTGGGGAAGAGAGTGAGGAGAGTGCCTGGAGCAAGGGAAAGGGGCCCAGGGAGACAGCCAGCCAAAGGAGGACGCTGCCCTGAGAAAGGGGGGCTCCCAAGGCAGAGGGAGCCTGTGGAATGGGGCTACAACTCTCTTCCCCACCCGCCCTCCCAGCCTCAGCCATGAGCCTGGCCCTTCCCGCGCTCCCTGGCAGCAGCAGGCCAGGCCCCGGGCTGCTTTCCTTCCCGATATGCTCTTCATCGTAGGGTGGGGAGAGGCCATTGGCAGCCGGGCCTTCGCACTGAAGCAGAGGGGACCCCAAGAACTCGCTCCTCGTGCCCCCACCCCTGAGCTGATAGGCATTTGCCCGCCCCACTGTGAGGAGCTGGAGCAGGCCCTGACCTTCTGAGAGTCTGAGAACGGGGACCCGAAGCCGTTAGCTGGGATCCCCCTACAGCTCAGCCAGGGCTGGGGGGAGGTCTCCACCAGCTGGGGTAACTCAGTTAGCGCCCAGGTCACTGCACACATCCCCACCCCAGACAGTCTCTCTGCAGAATAATCTCTATGGAAGCCCTAACGTGGCAAGTTCCCAACCTCCCAACCACCCCCCACCCCACCAGGGGGTGTGGAGACCCCTCACCTACCCCTGGCATCAGGCAGAGCCCCCACCGCCAACACCAATATACACTCTGTGTCTCCACATATCACCAAGACAGACAGAGCCCCACAGCGACACCCCAAGACACGGTCCCCAGCACCCGCTGGACACTCACAAGCCACAGGGACACGGTGGCGGGGGGGTAGCCACATTCTGAGGACGTTGTTAATGAAGCTTGGGGGCCAGCCCGGGGAATCCCACAAAAGCCCCTCCTTCCCGGGGGATGCTTGAGCACAGGCCACACTGGTACACCCTCTGACCTCGCTCACACCCTTGTCCCTGCCCTGGTCCCCCCTGTGCACAGAGGTATAGATGCCTGGTGGGGGAGGGGGAGGCGCGTCCCACAGGTACACAGATGAGTACAAACCAGGACGAGGTGTGAGGAGTTAGTTCAGTCTTATGTTAGGAAAGTGGGCATCAGCCCTCCCTCCACCCGTCCTGGGGGCATTTGGGCTATTAGGGGTTGTTGCCGCGACTACCGGAGTATTCAAGAACTCTTCTGTGCCCAGATGTTAAACCTCCTACCCACCCTAAACCAGCAGCCAGAACCCATGCCTTCAGGAGCCCCAGTATGAGGAGGGACTCACGCCCTGCCCCCTGTGGAGAGGCAGAGAGGGGTAAGGAGCCTAGTGGTGCACACTCCGGAGGGCCCGGCCCCCAGGAGAGTGTCTGTGTTTCCTAGCGTCCCCACACCGGGAAGGGCCCTCGGTGTTAATAGCGATGGTAGTAACCACAAGGTCAGGACCAACAGCCACCACGAGCAGGACCACGGGACACAACACTCAGCTTGCGTCCACACCGTCACATTGAGCCACACCAGCCTACCCACTCAGGCAACCAGGGCAACCTCTGAGGGGCCCTGCCAGGCCAGACCAGCGCCCGCCACCCGCCCACCGCAGGGGCCTCGCCAGCCAGGAAGGTAGTAGTCGCCAGGCAGGCAGCTAGAAGCCAAGCAAGCAGCCGGCCCCTCTCGGGTCCGCTCGCTCTCTCGCACTCTCTCTCTCACTCTTCCTCTCTCTGTCTCCGTCTCTGGGTCAAGCCCCTCTCTGACTCGCTCGCTCGCCCTCTGGGAACCAACCTGCAAGTACGTTCGTTTAACTCAAGCTGCCTCGCCTTGCAACGCGAGTCTGTGTTTTTGCAGGAACATTTACACGTCTGCGGATCTTGTACAAACAAATGCTTTCTCCGCTCTGAGCAAGGCCCACAGGGACTGCAAAAAGGCAAAAGGAAAGACATCTAAGCTAGAGCGTCAGCAGAAAGAGAGAGAAAAAAAAAACACACCATGCAACACCCCCTACTGTGTGCAGCAGGGCCCCCACCCAGCTCGTGGGCCCCACGCCCTTCCACGCCCTGGAAGGCTCCGAGTGCCACAGTGGAGACAGAGCGCGCAGAGAGAGGCAGCACCGGGAGGAAGCCCGCCCGCGGAGAGAGGCAGACACAGACGGGCAGAGCGCAAGGAGAGAGAGGGCTGCCGGGAGGGCAGTGCTGTCCACTGGACAAGCGCAAGCCTCAGGCCACAGGGTCCCCACTGCTACTGCCCCCCAAAACAGCACCTGACTCTTCGCCTGCTGGTGAACCACCCTCTCCCCGTGCGAGGGCGCGTGCCCAGGCCTAGGCCCCTCCACCAGGGGTGGGCTGAACAGGGTGAGACGCCTGGCTGAGCCCAGAGGCAGTGTCCACGGAGGGAGCCCTGGCAGCTGCCCCAGAGCTTGGCCCACCACGGCTTCTAACCTAGAGGAAGCAGCTGCCCACCTGACTGAGGGGCTTCTGTGGGTGCCACGGTCGGGCTGGAAGAGGGGGACCCCCTCGAGGAGCTCCGAGTCCATGGGAGGAGGGGCCGGATGGTGCCTGCCCACCCCCTCCCCCCCTCATCTCCCCCTTCAGCCAACAACAAGCTGCTTCGAGTCATTCAAACCCACTCCTCACACCACCCTCCTCACCACCCTCAGCTTCCAGACAAGCACAGAAGCCCAGAGCAGTGGAAACCAGTCGGGTGAGCAGGCACCAGTGCCCGGCACCCATGCCAACATGGGCCGGCCACCGGTGCCCAGTGGGTGAGAGAAAGGCAGTGCCCAGCCAAGCACAGGCCAGAGCCCCCTCCCTGATTCCTCCAAGCCCACTTTGCCCGCCCACCCCCAATGGTTGGACCAGCAACACCATCACGAAATCTACCCATTGGTGCCAATTAGTGGAGTGAGAATGAGAGAGTGAGAACACTGGGGCAGAGGGGAGGACAGAGGCAGGGAGGAAGGGACAGAGGGAGGGGGAGGGTTAAGGGGTCCTGCAAGCGGGAGTTAGATAGGGGGCCCTGGGGAGGCTCCAGGGAACGAGACAATAGCGGCACCACGTACAAGTTCCAGGATTTATACCGGGATTTCTTGCGCTTTCTTTTTTGCCCCTTTCCCTTTCCTCGAACTGATTTTCTGGAAAATAAAAAAACAGAGCCAGAGAGGAAGGGGGGGGCAAGGGAGAGGAAGAGAAGCCGTGAGGAGGGCAGGGGACAGGATGTGCTCGGGGTAGGAGGAGGCAGGCGGCCTCCAAGGAAGAACTTGCACTCATGTGCAGGTTGGGGCAGCAAGCACGGGGGTGGCTCCTTCTGCTCACTTCAGCCACCCTGGGGTGCCAACCCCAGCCCTGGGCATGGCCTTGGGTGGAGGGCACAAGCCCCAAGAGTAGGCCCTTTACCCTGCACAAGCCTGGTCCTATGGGAAGGGGGCTAGACAAGGTAGGCCAGGCTTTGGGGGGGAAAGGTCAGAAACCTGATTCAATTGGGGGTGGGTGGTGGAGAGGGGAGGGGGGCTGGCTGGGCTTCAGGCACCTTCTATCTTCATTCCCAAGTGCAACAGCAAAAGGGCCCCTCCAGAGGCCCTACCTCTGAGAGTGTGGGGGAGCAACTCCACTGGGGGCACCAAACCAAGGGCGGCACATATAAGGCACCAGCCCATCCGAGTCATAACTGGGCTGCGGAGAGGTGGGGCCGGGTGTCCTCACAGCCCCAGTCAGGCTGGCAGGAGGGTGGGGCGGGAGGCATGGGCAGCTCGCACCTCCCCAGCCTGTCAGAGCCTGCTGCACCCTCTCACCCGGCTCCCTGCTGAGCCAGGCGAGCCCCCACTCCCTGTGGGCAAAGCAGGCCTTTGGGGAAAGGGCAAGGGAGGCAGGCTGGAGCCTGTCCAGGGAAGGGAAACAGCGCTCTTCTCACATGCCAGCCGAGAGAAGGCCCCTTCCGCCCAGGGGAAGAGAGAGGGAGAAAGGCACCGAGGAAGGGGCAGGTCTGTGTCCTCTTGTTGGGAGAAATGTCAGAAGGAGGAAGGTCTTCGAGTGCGTACACGCACATTCTCCCTCTTCCTCCTTCTCTCTCCCTCTCTCCCTCTTTCTTATTCTCTCTCTCTCTCTCTCTCTCTCCCCTCTCTCTCTCTCATAGCAATTCTGGAAGTTGGGGACTTCAGGAAGAGGTGAAGGGTTGAGGCCTAAGGGCCTTCAATGTCCTCCGAAACTGAGCAGATAGGGTGGAGAGGGAGAGGAGGGAAGGGCATAGGTGATCTCTCTCAGTCTCTTCTCCTGCAGACTGGTCCCCCAGGCCGGCGGCTCCCGGAGTCCTGAGGACTCACTGCCCCCAGGCCTCGCCCTGCTCCACCCCTGCTCCATCCTGACTTGACCCTCCACGCTGAGCCATTAGAAGCCTCAGAAAATGACCGACATTCCATCAATTCTTTCTCCCTGGCCCGGAGGGCTGGGTGTCTCTGGCCTGTTTCCCTCCTGCAGGAGGGCATGCACCCAAAAGCATGCCAGCCGGCCCCAAAGCCAACGGCACCACCACAGCAGCCACCGCAGAGGCTGCTTCATCTGACGCACCAAGGCTGGCCTCTCTGCCACCCGCTCCCTCTCCCTGCAGTGGGTGATGGGAAGCTGCAGCATGCCAGGGAGCCAGCGTCCACACTGCCCCTCGGCACACCAGAGCCTCGAGTCCCAGCCAGGGATGACCTGGAGACCTGGATGGGTTTTGTCCAGGCGGGGTTTTGTCCCTACGGCTACAGCCATGGTCCTGGAGGTGGCTCCATCCCCTTGCGGCCACCACATGGCCCCATGAGACCACTTCTTGACCCAGTGAAGTCAGTCATCAGGCCCCTGACAGAGGAAGCCAAGAGCTCCAAACCAAGAAAACAGGCAAACAGAAGGAGAACTGAAGTCATGGCCACTTACTTTTCTTGCCTTGCTCTCTCTTTCTTTGGTCTGCAGTGGTAGAGAAAGAGGAAAAGAACAAAACAGAGAAGGGTTTAGACGGCGATGATAGTGATGATACAATAACAACAATGCTACTGCTAATAAAAACTTAGCACAGTATTTGCCATATCACAATACAGCCTTAATCCCTTTACATGTAACTCACTTAATCCTTATAACAATACGACGAGGTACTATTATTGTACCCACTTTACAAACGTGGAAACTGAGGCACTTGGGTAACACTGAAATGCCCAAGGTCACACACCTGCATTCACATTTGCTGTGCTGTAGGAAGCTCATCTCTCCTATGTGCTGGACTTTGTGAATTCTGATCCGCATGATCTAGAGGAGAAGGAAGCACAGCACAGAGGTTAGTGACCCAGCCAGCCATACCCAGGTGGGACACCCCTGTGGCTCCTGCCACTCAGCCCCCAGGGGTTCTCTACAGAGCAGTGACGGGTGGCGGAGTTAGGGGGACCGGGGGCTCTATCAGAAAGAGCCTCAGGCCCACCCCAACTCCCCCAACCCTGCTGACCTCAGGGAGCCCCTGCTCCGCTTGAGGGCAGACACAGCTGCACGGGTTGGCCAGGCTGGGAATTCAGATCCTAAGTTCTCACCACACCCCATCCCTCCCCTCCCTTCATCCCTTTAGTCCTCCCCCCACCTCCCCGAGAATCCCCACCCCGGGGTCTCACAGCTCCCTCCCGCCCACCCTATCCAGGCTGCAACGGACCTCATCACCAGACAGCATCAAACCACTGGCTTAGAAACTCCCCACAAACCACGCTCGTCCAGCTTCCCAAACAGAGCCCCAAAGTGGGAGGGAGGCTCCTGTCACAGGTTTCCTCCTCCTCCTGAACCCAGGGGCAAAGGTCAGGGAGAAGGAGGAGGCGGGCCGGGGCTTGCTGGGAACCCTGGACTGGGAAGTACAGGCTTCTCTTTCCCCAAAGAGGCGAGGCCTGCCACGCCTCCCTGACTGACTCAGGGGCGGGCGCTGGACCGGGCAGGCGGGCTCCTCCTCTCACGTGCCCCTGCCCCTCCTCCTCACAGGCACGCACCTGCATGGTGATGTTGTGCTCCTCGGTGGGCACACACTCCAGGCCCTCGTCGTTGCAGCAGCCCCCGCACCGCATCAGGGGCACACAGGACGGCTTGAAGATGTACTCGATCTCGTCGGGGTACTCCTGGAAGATGTCCACCAGGGTCTCGATGGGACGGCAGTAGCTGCGCTGGTACACATCCATGAACTTCACCACTGCACGGGAGGGGGTGGCACATGAGCCCGGTAGGTCACACAGAAGACGGCCAAGCCCGATCTCCACCCAGCTCTGTAAGGCCGCGCTCCCTGGGCTTTCTGGGAGAGGTATCCGCTATGGAGCAAGTCCTTCCCTGAGCTGTCTATCAACACAGCCGAAGACCTGCTTTTATGCCAAAGATGGCAGGATGCTGTCAATTTCCTGCCACATCTCATCCCCCTGCCCCGGCATGACAGCCAAGCCGATTCTCAGGTCAACCCTGATGCCAGAGGACAGTCTGAGTGGGAGTATACCTGTTGAGGTGCTCTAAGCACCCCATAGAAAAAGGAACAGCCAGCTTGGCCATCCTCCTCCCCATGTATGTACAACCTCTCCACAGCCACTGCCATACCCTACCAACCTACCAGCTACCATTTAATGAGCACTTACTGTATGCTGGGCACTGGACACAGGACCCTATGGTTGACATCTCAAACAATCCTCTACTATGAGGTTCTGGCAGGACCTCCATTTTATAAATATGGAACTAGAGGCTGAGTAATTTGCCCCAAGGCCACACTGCTAGGAACTGGTGACATTAAAATCAGCCTGGGCATCAGAGCCTTGCTTAGCCTTCCTCTGCCATGAGACAACAGAGGGGAAGCTTCAGGGGGCACCTTGCTACCTGCCAGACCCCTCCCCACAAGTAGGCTGAGGAGGCAGTGGGCACAGCACAGCCTGGAGTCAGCAGGTGGCAGAGGGCAGGCACACTATGCAGGCCCTGCCAGCCACCGATAACCCCACCCAAGAGGGCAAACTGCTTGCATCATGGAAAAACGGTGTTGCCACCGCAGCCACAGGGCACTTCTAGAAGCTGGTCCGGAGGGAGAGCATGGCGAAGGCCACTTCCCAGGCTGGGGGCGGGGCCTGGGGTGCATCGGTGCATGAAGGGGTAATTCTGGGCCACAGGGGCGGGCCCTTGAGAATAAATAAACTCAGGACTCTGGAATGACTACTCCAAATTGTGGCCCAGCCTGCCACTCCCTTATCACACACACACCCCCCTCCACATAGCAATTCTGTCCCTGAAATGAGTTTCCTCTGCACAGGAGGGGAGGGCAGCACCCAGCCAGCGAGGAGGCAGGGCTCCGGCCGCCACTCAGTGTGACCGCGGGCCAGTCCCTCCCTCTGCACATCTGGGCGAGCGGGTTGGGCTGATCTCGAAAGACACGGAGACAAAGGCTGAGATGTGGAGTTTTTGTCTACTGTTTCCAGTCCCAAAACACGCTCCCTTTTCTCAGCCCCAGGTAACATGAGGTTCGGAACCTCGGCCCGGCTGCTATCTCCCCAGAGATAGCAGCTGAGCCTCCAACCTCCTCGCTCCTCGCTCCTCGCTCCTCCCTCCTCCCTCCTCCCTCCAGGGGAACGAAGGCAGAGGAGCCCGGGGGCTGTGTCTATCCTAAGTGGGTTGAGGAGAATTCGGAGAGATGAGGGAAAGTAAGCGGGGAAGCCACAGATGTGAAAACGGAGAGAACAGTGGGGATCCCCAAGCCAGTCCCAGGCCTTGCCTACCACCTCTACTTTCTCCATCCAGGCAATGGCCACAAAATTCTTCTCTGCTCCCAAAAGGGTTAAGGTAAGGTGTCTTACAGAAAAGAAAAAAAAATTATAAAAACAAGACTAGGGATCTGAAGAAGTCCTTTCTAAGCCAGGTCTATATTGAAGAAGATGACTAATCCAGACCTGACACTTTGTCATGGTTGGGGACAGAGGTGGCCCAGGCCTCAGGGCCACAGGTCCCACCCAGGACAGGAGAGTAGGGAAGTCTGGCCAGGTGGCTGATAGCTGAGGGTAGAAAAACTCTGGGTGAGAGTTCCTTGGGAAAAGCTCCCTGGATTCCCCTCCCGGGGGGGGGGGGGGGGGGCAGGTAAAAGGGGACAACTTCACCAGCACCCTGAGCACCCTGAGCACCCTAGCCGCTGCCCCACAGGGAGCTGTCCCGCTCTGGCACAGGGCGAGGACACACAGACACTCGAACATCGGGCTTCCGCTGTTTTCCTTGTTTCTCGAAGACAACCTTTCCCCCAACAAAGGCCATTTGTCTTGCCTCTCTCGGGCCACAGAGACCACTGGGAGGCTGAGGGTTAGAGACACAGGGAGCGGGTGGCCTTACAGGCGTGGAGCGGCCAGGAAGCCAGGCCAGGGGCCAAGGAAAGGGCTCCCAGGCCAGGAAGGAGGCAGAACCGGCTGGGCATCAGCACCGGCGGGGAGTGCAAACACAGCCCTTGGCCACTACCCTGGGCCGGCTTGATTAAGGTCAGGGAAAAGCGCCTCCAGGAAGACCTCCTCGGAGCTGGGGAGCTGGGGGAGGAGCATGGGGCACTCTGCTCGCCCCGGGCTGGAGCAGAGGCCCCATGCGGTGGTGGGGAGAGCCCCGACATCCCTAGAGACATGGGAGGCGCCCTACACCAAGCCTCAGCGAACAAAAGGCAGGCCGCCTGGGCTTGGACAGGGGGTGGGGCGGGCGCCGTGGAGCTACAGCCAGCCCTCTGCTGGCCCAGCAGGGAAGTTCACAGCACCCAAACCTCCTCCACCTGGAGGGCTTTCTCTCTCCACCCCCAAAGGAATACAAACTGGGGGACGGGGTCCCCTGAGGCTGGGTCTCCGCACCCCTAGCTCATGCACAGCCACCAGCTCTCTGGATGGCAAGGGTCACACACAGCCCCTGCACACAGGCCCCAAAGGTGAGACATGCTGGGTTGGAAGTGACATGGAGTATCCATCCTCCCTAGGAAAAGGGGGGAGGGGGGAGGGTGTGAGACAAACAGACTTCTGGGATACTTGAACATGGTCCTCCTGGTCCATGCTCATAGCTCCCTCTTCAAAGAAACTTTACTGGGAAGAGCAGAAGGAAAAGGCCACAAGTCCTTTCCCTAGTAAAGCCTGCATAGGGAAGAGCCAATCCTCTGGAAAGAAGGGTTAACCTTTCCCTTTCCTGATCTCCACCCCAGACCATGAAAGAAGAAACGGGGCCTCCCACCCCAACCCTTGGGGAGTTAAGGGACCCCATCCAGGGGCCAGGGGGACTTACCTGGGTGGGCTTTCTGCTCTCCTTCTGCCGTAGGCGCAGCCTGGGACCACTGAGGACAAAACAAAAGGGTGAGACATGGGCATGGGCAGGGGGACGGCCACTCTGCCCTTCTTTTCTCCTCCTGCCCCCCACCCCATAGCCCCTGGCTTCTCTGAGGCTTCTGAGTAGAACGAGGCACCACCAGGGGCTCCCTGCAGGCCAGAACCCATCCACCCCACCCCCAGACTGCTCTGATTGTGAAGCCAAAAGAAGATAAAGACTGACCAGGCATTGGGGGTGGGAAACTCAAAGGGCAGTAGGAAAACAGCAGAATCTCTAGATCCCTTCTCCACAGTCCTGAGCTAAGGGAAGTGAATCTTCTCCCACACCCCACACACACTCCCCCACTCCCTGGTCCAAAGCCACAGGTAAGTATTAAGGTCAAATAGGACAAATTTGGACTGGGGCAGGAAGGAAGGACTGGGGGCGAGAAAAACAACATGGTGACCTTCTCCTGCTGACATGACAAATACCAGGGTGAGCTGACGCTAGGAAGGGAGGGGGCGCAGAGGCCTGAAGGGCACCAGCCACCCTCCCCCATCCAGACTCTCAAGTCTTCAGGAATATCCAGAAAACCCACAGGTTGCCTGGAGGGTAAAAACCTGGGAGGAAGGCCGGGGAGGGAGGGGAGAGCTCATTTCTCCCCGTGCCCAAGTCTCACCGGGGCCTGAACAGGTCTCCAACACCTTTAGCTTCACACTCCTGGCCTGTTCCCTAGTTTCTCCTCCCTCCCAGACTGAGGGGGTCCCCAAGTCCCTCTCACCTGGGCTCTTTCCTCAAATGCAATCAGAGAAGTCTTTTATGCCTTAGCAGTGCCCAGCCCCTAGGGGGCCCCCTGCACTACCTAGGCCTGAGGCCTGCCCCCATCCTTCCCCACCCCCACCAGCTCATTCCTCCCCTCCCCAGAAGCTGTGAAGGTCAACAAGTCCAACCATGTGAACCTGTCAGCACCGGGCAGAGGCTTCTCCCAGCCCTTCCAGAGGGTCTGCGGTTCTCACCAACGGCCCGCCCCACCTCCCCCTCTTTGCGGGCAGAACCTGAATGGCAGAGCCACCCCCTCGCCCACAGAACTGCAGAGCCTCTGAGAAGTGAGCATCTCAGTCTGTCTGCCTCTCTCTCCTTCCCATCCACTCCCACTGCACCCCGGTTCCCCCAGCCTTGCCCCCAGGACCAAGGTCAGATAACAGTTTCCAGACTCCCAGCTGGATAGCCTCCAACTGCAGTTCCCTCAGGGGCCCCCCAGAGTGTCCACCTCAGTCCCTCATCCATGCCCAGGACACCCCCCTGGCTTCCCTCTGCCAACTTTCTCTCTGTGGCCTCCATGCCTCCAGGGCCCCAACTGGGAAAGGGGACAGAAACTCCATACCCCCTCCAAGGCCTGGGGGCACAGGGAGGAGCAGTTCTGCGCGGGGAGGGGCCAGGTGCCCTTCTCTGGGGGCCTCTGAAGGTCACGCTATGGCCAGTCCGCCACTCCTCCCCTCCCCTCCCTGCTTGGAGGCCTGGAGCCAAGGCCTTTGTGCCAGGGTCTGAGGAACTCCGGTGGCAGCAGGGACCCCGGCCCCGTTTCCTTCCCTGGGCCTCTGTGCAAGGGGCAAGTCCAAGGGAGGGGTGGGAAAGTGACCTCCTAGGTGGCTTAGAGAATCGAGTTGGGTGGGCAAGTTTGAAGTTCCAAAAAACCACCTGCTCCCGCTCCAGTGTCTCGTTTCACTGGGACAAAGTGTGTTTGCAAGGCCGGCAAGGCGTGCTTCCCAAGGTTGCCTACCTCTCAGCAAATTTCAAACCGTTTTTCCAAAAAAGTGTAAAGTGGGGTAATAATGACACTGTGTAAACCCTCCCCATGGCCCACCCCACAAAGGCTAAAGCGCATCCCACCTGGAAGTGTGGGGGAAGGGAAGGAGGGACGCTGCCTGTCACCAAGTGGGAGCTCTCCACAAAGCCCCCCGTGGGCCCTGGCACCCTGACCCCTGACGCGAATCCTCCTCTGCCTGGCCTAGGGGCTGAGCGAGGTTTGATGGGAATTCTCAGCCGAGGGGAGCGAAGACTAAAGGGATGGGCAGGGGGCTCTCTCCACGCCAGGGAGGAAATGGGGAAGGGGCGTCTGGAAATCCTTCCTGGCACAGGAGGAGGCCGGGAGCTGGAGCGGCCGGAAGGGACAGGGTGGTGCTCCGGGTGCTCCCGCCGGGCTACCTCGAGAGGTCACCTTCCCGCGGAGGGCCGGCGGGGGGAGGGGCGCCGCTCGCCGCCCGGGACTCCCAGCTCGGGCCGCGGCGGCTCCGGGAACACGCGGCTGGCCAGGCCCGGGCTGATGTAATCGGCTCCGCGCCGCGCGCGCCCGGCCGGGCGGGGGAGGGCGGGCGGGCACGGAGCGGGACGCGAGCGGGGCCGGGCGGGGGTGGCGCCGCGCAGGTGGCCCGGCGGAGAGGGGGTGGGGGGGTCTCCGCAGCAATCCACCCCGAAACTTTTCCTAAACTCGCGGCAAGGGCCGCAGGGACCCAGCGGCGGTGACAGCGAGCCCCTCTTTGCGCCGGCGCCCTGCCCCCTCCTCCGCGCTCTCAGCCCTCCTCCGGTCCAAGGTCCGAGCACCCCCCTGCCCGCTGGACTCCGGCTCCCGCCCCCGCTGCCCGGACTTTCAGTTCGTCCGGGACCCGCCGGCGGCCGGGAGCAAACTTCAGCGGCCGGCGACGGCGCAAGCCCAGCCCCCTCGGCCTCCTCCCGCGGCTCCCGCCCTCCTTCCCTCCGCGGGTCGGCCCAGATCGTACGTGCGGTGATCCGGTGGGTGGGCAGGGCCCGCGTGGGCGGTGAGCCTCTACCCCGGTGCCCTCCCACCTAGCGCGCGCCCCCTCCCCCTCCGCGTGCGAGGACGGAGGGGGAAGCCGCGCGCCCGGGGACCCGCGTGGGGCACGGAACCCCCACGCGCGCGCTCGCACGCACGTCCCCAGCCGCCGGGAGAGGCGCTCGCAGCGGCCCGCGGCGCCGGGCGGGGACGGCCCGCTTACCTTGGCATGGTGGAGGTAGAGCAGCAAGGCGAGGCTCCAATGCACCCAGGAGAGCAGAAAGTTCATGGTTTCGGAGGCCCGACCCGGGCCGGCGCGGCTCGCGCTCCCTCTCCGGCTCGGGCTGCGGGGCGGCCCGCTCTCCTCGTCGCCCGGGCGGGCTCCTCTTCCTCCCGGAGCCGAGGCCCCGGCCAGGGCCCTGGGCGCGCGCGCGGCTGGGGCACTGTCTGCGCACACGGCCGCCTCACCCGTCCATGAGCCCGGCTGCCGAGCGCCGAGTCGCCACCGCGGCCCCCTCTCCTCTTCCTTCTCCTCTTCCTCCTCCCCCTCCTCCTCCTCGGACGGAGGCTCCTCCCGGCCCGGGCTAGCACTTCTTCTCCCGGCTCCGCTCGGCTCGGCTGCCCCGGCGCGGACCACGGCTCCTCCGGAGCGGGAACAGCCGAGAAGTTGGACGAAAAGTTTCAGGACGACGCCGCGAGCCCCGACCCCCTCCACCCCGCCTCCGGGCGCGGGCTGCTGCGGCTCCTGCCCGCGGCTCGCCGCCGCCGGCCGCCGGCCGCCGAGGAGGTGGGCGCTGGGGCGGGGGGCGGTGTCTGTCTGTCTGTCGGTCAGCGCGGCTGCTCGGGTGCGGGGCCGCGCGCCGGCGGTCACCCCCAAAAAGCAGGTCACTCGCTTCGCCCCTGTCCCTCTCGCGGCTCGCCCGCCCGCTCGCGCGCGCTCTCCGACCCGGTCTCTCTCTCTTCCTCGACTTCTCTTCGGCGCTCCCGCTGCCTCTTTCTTCTCGCTACTGGTTTCCAAAATCCGGAGTGATTTGGGGGGCGTGAAGGAGCGATCTTCCCAAACGGCCGGCCCGATTGAAGTGGGGGGAATGGGAAGCAAAAAAATAAATTAAAAACTGAAAAGAATACGGTTTTTGTTTTTTGTTTAAAAAAAAATGTTTAAGAAAAAAAAGGGAGGAGGATAAACCCTGGTTAAATCAATTTCAAATCCCAGGGCGGAGACCCCTGGCTGGTGACTCCGAGGGTTCGCCTGCCTCCTCGCCGCGTCTTCCGACCGAGCGCCGCTGCCGCCGGCTCCGCTAGCCCCCCGCGCCGCGGCCTCCCCGCAGCCTGGCTGCCCCAAGCCTCTGCGCTTCCCAACGCCACCAGCCGCCCCAAAAAAAAGGCCTGGCCCCGCCCCCGCCGCCAGCCCCGCCCCCGGCACGCCCCCAGGCGAAGACGCTCGCCTCCAGCAGCTCCGCTCCGGCCCGGCCCCCTGGCGCAGCCTTCGCCTGCGGACACCTAGTGAAGCAAGCCTGTGCCCCCACCCACCCAAGTGAAGGGAAAGCTCGACCCCCACCGCAGCGCACAGCCTGAAAATCACCCATCCGCCTCCCCCATCCCCCACCCCACCCCCGCTTTGCCCGGAGACCCACTCGCGGTATCTGCGGGGAGGGAACAGGAAAGTGAGGTTACGTGCGAACAGACTAGAAAGCTATTCTCCTTTGCTGGGGATATTGGAGAGGGCGTGAGGATGGGGGCATCCAACAGGATGGGGCGGAGATAGGGAAGCACAGGTCTTCTGGGGTGGCCCCTGCCCTTCTCCCCCTCTCCGACACCCTCCTCCTCCAACACTCAGTTCCCCCACCCCGCACTCACCCTGACACTCAGCGCGTCCTCACTCTCCGCTGACGCTGCTCTACCAAGTTCACCCAGCCTCCCTGTGGTGGCCGAGCGCCCCCTAGCGACACACCCCAGCTCTGGCTCAAGAGGGAATGGGCCTCAGGATGAGAGGGAAAGATTTACCCCTGAGCCCTGCATTTCTGACCTCCCAAACAGTGAGGTCACTTTTTTTGGACTCGTGGTCCCCATGTGCAGAGAGCCCAGTGATGGGCACAGAGGCCCCCGGGTACCCATCTGGACAATGTGCTCATCAGAGTGAGCTGCAGCCAGCAGTCTGGGGTTACTGGGTTGCTTTGGGAAGTATGGAGAAGGGGGGGAAGGGTTCTTCTTGGGAAGAGTATTTAACACGAGTTTGTGGGGCCGAGAATGGGAAGCGTGTGGTTCTGGGGTTAGTCAGCGCCCAGAGGAGAGAGGACCTGTTGGAGACCACGTATGCTCAGTGGAGTCTGGCAGAGCCCAAAGGGAGAGGCAGCTGGGCAGACAGAGGCCCTTGTTTCTGCTCCCCCCGCCCAGATGTTGCCAGGGAACTGAGGCCAGGGGGCTGGTGGAGCGGATGGAGGCCAGGGCCTGAGTGATGATTCAAACCTACTCACCAGCACTGAGGAACGTCTGTAGGCCAGCTGCCCAGAGCTCCCACCTGGCTGGGGGCCAAGGGTTCCATCAGCCCCATCCAGGCTCACAGCTCCTCTTCTGAAAAGAATTGGGGAGTTGTCCTCTGCACCCTCAGAACCCGGATCCCTTGCCTGCTTCTCCCAGTTGGTGGCCTCCCTTCTCTCCTCTCCTCTCATCCCCTCCATTTCTTCAAAGCCTCACTCTTTCCCAACTCCCCTATCTTCTCTAAGTGTTCCCCAAGGCCCCCCACCCCACCCTTGCATATAGGACCAACCTGGGAAAATTCCTGGTTGGGCTTTGACCCAGTAGCTCCTAGGCTCCCCCAGGGAACAAAGGGGGGCTCTAATACCTGTGGGAAGAGAGGGACCAATGGGTCGCATTATTTATCTGGGTCTGGCCAGGGCCTGGCCTAGGGCTGGTGTAGCCTCGGTGAACGCCTCCCCTAGGCTGAGAGTGGAAGCCAGGGTGAGAAAGAATGGGAATGCAGTAACTTCCCCCAAGTTGGTCAAAATGATCCAAAAGGGTTACTCCGCCAGCCCCCCACCTCAGCAGTGATGCTGTGTTTTGGGGGGAGTGCTAGGTTACCCCTTTAGTACTCCAGTTCCACGGGAGTGGTGTCCCGAGACCCCTATGAGCAGAGGGGCTGGCTCCCCCCAATTCTATCCTACCCTTTCCATCATTCATGCCTCCAGGCCTGTCTCCACCACCTGGCAGGCTTCCCAGCAGCAGGAACAAGGTCTTTTTACAGTTTACTTTTTAGTAAACATTTATTTGCTGGCTCAGGGCCCCCTCCCAGGCAGGCCTCCTTACCTAGGCTCCATGCTCAAGCTGCCACATGGGATACGGAAGGCCAGCTGCTGAGCGTCCTCCTCGCCCAACCTGGTTCTCCTCTCAAACCTCCAGAGCACAAGGTATGGGCACCTTGGCACAGTCCCCCTCCCTCGCTCCTACTCTGAAGCCAGCAGAGCTCAGGACAGAAACTCCCAGTGGCATCACTTCCATATCCCGCTCATCTCAGGCTTCCCCAGCCTCCGGGGAGGCCTGAAGAGGAGGTCTTAATAAACTACCCTGAACTTGGAAGGAGGGTGAAAGGTTCCAGAAGTTCCAAGGAGATGTGGCCTTTCATTGTCACTTACTAGCCCAGTGCTCTCCCTGGCCTGAGCCAGCCATCCCCGTTGGTGGCATTCAGCAATGTGTGTTCCAATGCCCTATGTGAACTCTACCCAAGGAGCCACAGGAAACGGGGGAGCGGAATTGCAGGCTGGCCTGAGGGGTTTTGGCACCCTAGTCAGGGACGAGGTGGGGAGGGGGAGGAGAGGGTAGTCTCCCATCTCCATCTGTTATTTCAGACACACAACCTGGTGGCGACTTAGAGGAGGGGGGCTTGACTCTGAACGCCGTTCCCCAATGTGGCATCACACGCTTTGGTAACAGTACACCATCATGGGCCCAGCCAATGCTCACATTGTCATGGAATGGAAAGCCCAATGCACAGAGCAAAGAACGCAAATCAGCAATCGTAAGACCACGTCGTGTCTCTATAGCGCCTTCTCTTCCCAGCAGCCTAATCCACAGACTTAATTTCCCTTCTCCTCGCTCTGTGGGTGGCTTCAGGGCCGGAGTGTTAGGGAAGGTTGTCTCTCCAAAAAATCCCAAGGGCACAGAGGGAGCCAAGATCACCCAACAGCATGGTGTGGGAGGGGGCATGGAGCAGAGAGCAGCCCAGACAGAGGTCATGCTGGTTCCCCTCGGGGACAGCCTCAGCTGCACTCGGGGCTCAGGAGGCCTCCACAGAAGGCTCTGTGCAGTTCAGAAGGCGCCTAGGAGGAAGGGGAAGGTGTTCCAGGAGAGGGGGGAGGAGGGAGAAGGGAGAGTGACAGAGGTGGGGTGGGAAAGAAGGTGAAAGGTGGCCAGGAGCCAGCTGTGGCCCCAAACAAAGGAAGTAGTGATCAGCCCAAGGCACAATGGTTGTACTTTGTCCCGAGGTCCTGTCACCTCTGATGTTCAGGGAAGCTCTCCCGCCTGTGGGTGCGGGCAGCTCACCTCCAGGCCTGCGGATAAAGGCACAGAGCCCCCCTCACGTGAGGCGAGGGCCCCTGAGCCTTGCTGTTGTCTAGACATTTCTCCAAGTGGTCTCTCTGTGGTGGGAGGAAGGTCTTCTCCCTCCACTCAACGCCTGACCCCCAGACACGGAGCAGTCCACAGATATAACCCGCAGCAAGGACATGAATACCAGCCCGTAGAATTGAGGGAGTGAGAATGGAGTGGGTTCCTCTCAATTCTGTGTGGCCGTGGGTCAGCCTCTCTCTGTGTCTCACTAGTTATCTTTGCAACAGAGCAAAAGCCAGGAAGAGACAAAGCGAAAGCCAGGAAGCAGGGCCTCTTTTCCAGTGCCAACACCATAGCCACATCTGGATCTGGAGGCTTGACTCGGTTCATGATAGGTAATCTTGCTGATTGGTAACAAAATGGGAGCTGGGGACGCCAGAGAGGTCAACTCCCTTCAGAACCCAGTCAGGAAAAAGGAGGGAAGGAGGAGGGGAAGCAGGCTGGGGACCCAGCAGAGGAGCTGGGCAGGGTCACTATCTCGGGGAGTGCACCTACCCACACCACCCCCTGCCCCATCAGCCAAGCCTCTGCCTCTCCTTCCTGGGCCTCAGTTTAACCCCTAACACCAGGCTATCTTCCTGGATTGCTTCTCGCTGTCAGCACCCGACATGTCCACTTCCTGACAACGCTGTCCTCGCTAACCCTCAGAGTCAGAGCCCCATCCTGCCCGTTGCTGCCCTGTCCACA